TTTTATACAAACTGGTTAAATTGGTTTGAATGACTAAACCAATCTGAACGAATCGGTTTGAATTGATCTGGCCGAATCGGTTAGAACCGATCCAAACCGCTTTGCTTGTTGACCGCTGACCGTAGAATTTGACATTTGGCTTTTCTATTGATTTTTTTTATTTATCATTACTTCTATGTTTGTCTTGAGTCCGTTTTGTCAAATTCTAACCCGAAAGACATGTTTTATGTCTTTTAGTGCTTTACATTATAGTTATATTAAGTAAATTTTAAAATTTATGGTCTTACTTTATGATATTAACTCGTCTAAGGGTCTAGGACTACTATGATTCAGTTGTAACTCTTAGGCCGGATTTAGAGTTACAATCAACTTAAACATCAACACATCTAACCAAAGCTATTGAAGTTAAAAGAGCTTGAACTACGAAACTAGCATCTGAAATGCCACGTAAGCTTCTCATTGTCGGAAACTATTCCGTCCATTAACAAAGGAGAATGATGATGGGGAGGAGGGTGAAGAGAAAGGGATAGAAATGGAGGCGGTCGGAGTCATCATCGACGTGGTTTGAGTGGCAACAAAGGTGGTTTATAAGAAAGATTGAGAGAGTTCAAATGTTAAATTAATATTTTATCTAAATCTTAGGGATGATTAGGAGTTTTATTATTTTTAACGAGTTATATCATCAAACTAATAAAAAATTAACGTTTCAATGTCCAAATTATAATAAATCAATAATGTAAACTATTGAAACTCAACTTTTTCATAATCAAGGACTAAAATAAGACTATATTGATACATGTTGGTTTGGACTTAGTTTATACCAGTATCTGTAGCTACCCTGACTCGAACCGAACTTACTTAACCCACATTTGTATATATTTATATACTTTTAAATATCATTCGTTTATTTTATTTTGAACTTTTTAAAAAAATACCAAAAAGAAAAATTCTAAATACAATTGCAAAGGTCAAATGTGATTAATTGACATCTCATAACCTAAACATTAGTAGTGTGATAAAAAAAAAGTGGGGTTTTTTTGATAAATTAATCATCATTTTTTAACTTCACGAAGTAAGCTAACTAAAATGATAAAAATCTTATATGGACTATTAGTGTACATTACCCAAATATAATTTATATGCATAATTAGGTAGCATCTACTTAGATTCAAGAATTGTGAGTTGAGTTTCCGTTACTTGTATTCTATTTTAAGTAACCAGCAACGAGTCAAATGTTTAATATATTTAGCTAATTCTAACGATTTTTTTTCCTCCTGCTGGCTATTGAGTCACAATTGATTGCCACATATTGGATTGAATGGATCTTCTCCAAGAAAGCTCCCCCTTGATTTTGGTTTTACATCCTATAAATGTACTCCATTCTTAAAACCTACAGTCTCAACAGGAAACGATCCCGAATCATTTCTTTCTTGTTTGTTCCATTGATCCGAATTCCGACATGGATTCCACCATTGGTTCTCAGCTTCAGTCATGTAAACCTGCAAACAGCATACTAGGCTGCCCATCCCAGAATGGTTCAATCCTAGATTCCCAAACTCCAGCCGTTGCTGCAGCGGATGCCACCCTTGGGCGCCATGTGGCTCGCCGGCTTGTTGAAATAGGGGTTAAGGATGTCTTTACTGTTCCCGGTGACTTCAATCTGACCCTTCTTGATCACCTTATTGCTGAGCCAGGTCTAAAAAACATTGGTTGCTGCAATGAGCTCAATGCTGGGTATGCTGCTGATGGATACGCTAGGTCTCTTGGGGTTGGTGCATGTGTTGTCACGTTTACTGTTGGTGGCCTCAGCATCATCAACGCCATCGCCGGTGCTTACAGTGAAAATCTGCCTGTTATTTGCATTGTCGGAGGACCCAACACCAATGATTATGGGACTAATAGGATCCTCCACCATACCATTGGTTTATCAGATTTTAGCCAAGAGCTAAGGTGCTTCCAAACTGTTACTTGCTATCAGGTATGAGTGTGTCCTGAATTAAACTGGAAGGTTTTATTTTTTATTTTAATGGTCGAATTGGATTTGGATGTATTGCACTCTTACCCTAAACACAAGTAGTAATTTGATTTTGGGTGTAATTCCAGGCTGTGGTCAATAACCTGGAAGATGCGCATGAACAGATTGATACAGCTATTTCTACTGCTTTGAAAGAGAGCAAGCCTGTGTACATCAGCATAAGTTGTAATTTACCGGGAATACCTCATCCTACTTTCATTAGAGAGCCCATTCCATTTTCTCTATCACCTAGGTAAAGTTTTTTGTTTTTTGCTTCTGAATTTCATTTCCCATTCCCCGATCTTCATGATTGAATAGGGTGTGAATTTGTGGTTACAGGTTGAGCAACAAGATGGGTCTAGAAGCTGCCGTAGATGCAACTGCTGCCTTTCTGAATAAGGCAGTAAAGCCTGTGATTATAGGAGGGCCAAAACTCCGAGTAGCAAAGGCCTGTGAGGCCTTTGTGGAACTGGCAGATGCTTGTGGCTATCCGATTGCTGTGATGCCATCAGCAAAAGGTTTAGTGCCAGAACACCACTCTCGGTTCATTGGCACTTACTGGGGTTCAGTAAGCACTACATTCTGCGCTGAAATTGTGGAATCTGCTGATGCTTACTTGTTTGCTGGACCAATCTTTAACGACTATAGCTCGGTTGGGTACTCACTCCTCCTTAAAAGGGAGAAGGCCATCGTTGTGCAGCCTAATCGTGTAGTTATTGCTAATGGACCTGCCTTTGGGTGTATCCTAATGAAGGACTTTCTCCAAGAACTCGCAAAAAAGCTTAATCACAACGCAACTGCTTATGAGAACTACCAGCGTATATTCGTTCCAGATGGTGTTCCTCCTAAATCTGATCCCAAAGATCCTTTGAGGGTCAATATCATGTTCCACCATATACAAAAGATGCTTTCAGGTAACACAGCTGTGATTGCTGAGACGGGGGATTCCTGGTTTAACTGCCAGAAGCTAAGACTACCACAAGGCTGTGGGTATGTAACAAATATTTTAGCTGTCTCTCAAGTATTTTTGTTTGACATTTGACAAACAAAAGGGGAAAAAGTTGGTGTTGCAGGTATGAATTTCAGATGCAATATGGCTCAATTGGGTGGTCTGTTGGAGCAACTCTTGGATACGCTCAGTCAATTCCAAACAAGCGCGTGATAGCTTGCATTGGCGACGGCAGCTTCCAAGTAAGGGTGGACAGTCTGGAATTATACAGTTCCCAAAACATTCCTAGTAATTTCCATATAAGCAAAGCTCCGAAATGTTGATGATTCATATTATCCTTGACAGATGACAGCACAAGATATATCCACCATGCTGCGATGTGAACAAAAGAGTATCATATTCTTAATTAACAATGGGGGCTACACCATTGAAGTTGAGATCCACGACGGGCCTTATAATGTTATCAAGAATTGGAATTACACTGCATTAGTTGATGCAATTCACAACGGCGAAGGAAAGTGCTGGACAAAGAAGGTTAGATGGTTGACGCTTGCTTGTTTGTTGTACCAGGAAACTAATATATCTTAACTTGGGGTTTTCCAGGTTAAGTGTGAAGAAGAGCTCCTTGAAGCCATTGAAACTGCCACAGGTGAGAAGAAAGATTGCTTGTGCTTTATTGAAGTCTTTGCACACAAGGATGACACCAGCAAAGAGCTGCTGGAGTGGGGATCAAGAGTCTGTGCTGCAAATAGCCGTCCACCAAATCCTCAATAGACTATGAGCATTTTGCCCAGTTTCTAAATTATTATAGTTAAATAAAATTTTCTTCTGTCTAAGAATTTTTATTAGACTAAATCCCAATTAATAAATCAAATATTCTACATCAAATTAATTATATAATGTTGTAAAAAAATATTTATATTATCGAATTTAAGTAATTAATAAATTAATTTCCTATTTTAACCATTGAGATAATTTTTCTAATTTTTTTATTGTGTCCTGGCAATTTAATGTGTTTAGTGTGGTTAAAAAATAGTTTGGTCTTGATTCTTAATAGATTTGAGCTTAAAGTGTGTATTTAATGTATATATTTAATATTTTGGTTAATTCAGTTAATTAACCAATTTTGATTCGAATTAATGGTTAATCAAATATTAAAAAATTAATTATTCCCCAACCAAACTAATTCGGTGGTTGATTGTTTTAATCGAACTAATTCGGTTCGACCGATTAATTCAATTCTAAAAATAGAGGTAATCTCTTTATTGGTGATGGACATATTTTGCGAACACAATTTTTTTTATTAGGTGGAAATGTATTATATTTCTAAGACAAATGTCAAGATTCGAGTTCTGTGAAAATACGATAATATGAGCATCAAGCATTCGACGATTCACATCTCTTATTGATGGACTGGTCCTCATAACATTAAAATAGTCGTCAAACAGAGATCCGCTAATTGATCGTGTGATAAAAGATATTCATGTTGACATGACTATATACGGCTGATAATTACGATTTAGAAGAGAAGTTAAGCCTTTGTGATATCTTCTTTCTTGATGGTGAAATCCCAGAGATCTCCATATTTCTCATTAAAATCCCAAATGCTCATGGTATTGTAGTCGTTGATTAACTTATCACGAGCTCCCCTTTCCATGTTATATATCTGAGGTTCAAAGTGGTGGGGCTTATCTGGTTTATCCATCTCTATTATACAGAATATAAGCGTAAACACTCCAGCTCCAATGAACAAGTACTCCCCCTGCACCATTATGCAATTCATCAAACTAATAACATTTGGTAATAAATAATAATCTTATCTACTAAATGAATTTTACCGGAACATTGAAAAACATTCCAGCTGCAACTGCGGGGAGGAAGAGCCATGAAAGAAGGCCTGCAAGCAGTTGAAAACAACCAATTGCGGAATTAATGTACGAAAAGAGTATTAAAAATAAGGGTAAAGTACATAAATGGTTCCCCGACTATAGGATACTGCTTTGTTTGGTCCTCTGACCGTTAAAAGTTATAAAATGATCTCCAACTATAGGGCATTGTTTTGTTGAGTCTCTTGACTATTAAAAGTTACAATATAGTCACCCAATTATTTATTATGTTCTAGATTTGTCAATTTCCATTAAAAAATTAATGGTCTTCTGAACTAAACGTTAACATGTTGAAAAAGATATGATAAAATTAGGGATAACTTGTTCATTTTGTAACTTTTAGTAGTCAAGGGACTCAACAGAACATTATCATGTAGTCGAGGGACTATTTATAAATTTTACCCTAAAAATAGCGATGCACCAAAGATGTTTAAGCGTTCATTGTAATCGCCTCGTACTAATAAAAAAATATAAGAGATTTACCTTGGAATCCTGTTGGTGGTTCAATAGCTTCAATATCATCAGCAATGGCTCCCCAAAATGATCCTGCAACTAAAACCTTTAACACCTTTGTTTAAACAGAAACAACATGAAAATTTCGCTCTTTCTAGGTACCTTTCTCCTCCTCTCCTTCAAAGTAAGTATGGTGCCCATCATACTCTCCATATTTAAAATCTTCCTATAAACCAACAAAAATACGGGTTTATCCTAAGTTTTCTTTATATACGAACACGAACACGGGCTGAAGATACAAATACATGAAGAAATTATAACTAGAGATGAAATGAACTGACAGAGCTGACGCCATTGGTGGCCCATCTGTCAGTAGGGTCTTCGTTAAGATCAGGTTCAATCTCGGACAACCCTGCGGCATTCAATCTTGTGAAGCTGATTCTTCGGTCCCCATGGTTTCTAAGCAGCTTGAAATCAACAAGACAAGCCTCTCTTTCTCTCTTGGTTTCAAGCTTCCTAAAGCTGATTTTAGGCACCGAATTTACAGAGACAACCGAGAGTGGTGCATGAATTGCCATTTCTTGTTTTCTCTCTCCTTGTTTATCTTCTTTGTAATGTCAACTTTCGTTTTTATCGGATTGAGCTTTGTAAGCGTTCTCCATCGTTCATTTCAGCTCTGCTCGTTATCCATTTTCTAGGACGTTTAAACAAGGCCTATAATATGTTAGGGGTAAAGTACACACGAGATCAGTGAACTATATTCAAATGATCATTTTGGGTACTAAATGTTTCAATATACAAAACAGTCATTAAATTTATCAAACTGTTATAAAACGGTCACTATAACATTATAATAAATGTAAAAGATTGACAAAATTTAATAAATATTGTAATAACGTTATGATAAATATAATAAGGCCTTTAAACCTTTTAATGGCAATTTAGATTTTCCAAAAAGGTAGCTTGCAATATTGTGCTCAGATCAAGGATCCTTTGTCTCCGTTCAAATAACAATTCCTGTGAAATGAAAGTATTTATATCCATCAAAGTAAAAGGATAATTAAATTTCAGCGAAACCATAATTAAAACTAGTCTTGAACTAACGCCAATTACAAAATACTACAAAAAGTTAATTGAATTTCATGATAGATCTCTCTCCAACACCAATTGGTTTTCATGGATATAGAAGCTGAGTTTACTTCAACCCTGCAAATACAAGAGAATATGTTACAAAATTACAGGTACCAAGAATCAGAGAATGAATATGTATTGAACACAACTTTGATAAATAAATATATATATATATATATATATATATATATATATATTTGAACTGAAATATCCAACACAAGTTTAAAAAAAAAAGTCTAAACACTGGTGCGTCTTGACTAATATTCAACTTTGTATTAGAAGACTTGATACTAAAGAAGCATTTAGCTAACAGAAGGTGCAAACTGCAAAGAAAAATGAATAATATGCAGAAACAATAAAGTCAAGGGAGGGAATTGCAAATAGTTCATGTTATCTCAAGGGCTCTTTCCATTTTCTGAGATATGGCAATCTCATGTAGCATGCTTTTTTAGTAAGTAAAAGTGCAAGACTATGATACTAGATGGAGCTTACAAGCCCTCGAGAAGAATGGAACACGGGACAGGCACAAACAATGACAAAAACCAATTTCCCACCATATAAAATGTAGAAAATGAAACAATAATAAAGGAGAAGTACAATAGATCTGAGTCACAGTCACCAAACCTGTTGCTTTCTCTTTTTTGGCCTCCTCTTTCTACGAGGTTTGCGAGCATCAGAATTGGAACTTAAATTACTACTGTTTCCTGTCTTGGAATTTGAGAACCCCCCTGCCTTAAAGGAAGAACCACTTCTGCTATTTGATGTGTTACTAGATGTGGACATCTCAGCTCTCTGCATTGATGAATTTCGGCTGGATGAAGATCCAAACCTTGATTTTGCACGTACTGAATTTGAAAATGAATTAGGCCTTGGAGGTGGCATTAAAGCTCTGGCAGAAGCCTGTCTCTGTTACAAGTTGAAGAAGAACAGAACCAAGGGTGGAAAATCAAAACAGTTAAATTAATTACTTTCTTAAAATGAAACTATACAAATTCTATACTGAACCTGGTTCCTTTCATCACTAGACATGCCAGATGCTGCTTTTCCAGAAGCACTGGAAGCCTGTTCCCTGCATATATAATGCCTAGATGTTTGAGTGCACTTTTCATCGTGACAAAAGCAGTGGGATAAAGATTTGTGGCCTGTTCAACTAAAACGACCTTGCCTTAGATCCAAATAGTACTTCAGCTAACGACAGAGTCAATAGTGATAACAACTCCATGTTCAAGTGATTGCATCTCTAACTTATAATGCTTCATAAAAGCAAAGTTCAGTTGAGCAGTTCAACTCGCAGATATAATAAATACCTGGTACTTTTATCTGTCCATTCATCGTCTGCGTCAACTTCATCACTTGAAGATCCATTTAAGAAGAAATCATCATCACTGAAATCCAACAGCCCATCATCCTCACTCGCTGTCTCTGTTAATCAAATTCCAACCAGAAGATATCATTCTTTTGAAGTTTGAACACAACAATACAAGTTAATAAGAACAATTAGCAGGTAAAGTAAAAGGTAATAAGACAAAACTAGACCTTCATTTTGAAAAGCTTAATTACACTATACAATGAAATAAAGCTAAATATGTTACTACTTTATATAGATTATAACGCTGGCTACAGTGAAGAGAAAATGCACCTTCCATATCTTTCCCACCGGCAGCAGCAGCAATTAAGTTGGCTTTTATCTGCGTCCGCAATCTATTTCTCCTATCAACTACGTCTGAATCATCACATCCCATAAATAAAGATACGTATTTCTCAGTCTTGGGGAAAAACTGCATTTGCAAATAGAAAAACAGAACTTCAGCTTTGCATAGTTTAGGAAAGACATACTGAATTCAAGTTCAAATAGTCAGTTAAATAACATTGTCCTATCATTAACATTTGGAAAAAAAATCTGCTACAAAGCTTACCCTAACATATTCAAGATCCTCTTTCAATTTAGATAGCTGGTTAGCAATCTCGGCATCTTGTGCCTGACCAGATGAAGTTCGTTGCAGCTTCTCCAAACGCCGAATCCTCCTTTCTATTTTTCTTCTCTCTTCAATGACAATTAAGATATTTGCATATTAATGATTCATTCCCAAAATGAAGTAAATACTATAACAGTTCAAGAAAAGAAAAGATAATAGTAAATCTTTTTTTTTTACCAAAAAACTTAATCTTTCTGTTCCTCAAGAAGATTTTTCGTTCCACAGCTAGTCGGGTATGGATTTCTTGTTGTTTCTTAAGCCCTTCTAACTTATTTTCTTGAGCCTCTCTAACTTCAGGAGGAAGATCCTTATATTACATATGCGAAAAGGAGAAAAATTGCAATTCAGAGAATTTATAACACATGCGAAAACCCTAAAATGAAAATTTTATTTAAAAGGAGAAAAAAAACGGAGATGAACAATACCTTCCGCAGCATGCGTTCAATGGAGCGTATCTGGTTCTTGAGAGAAACGGCTTTTGGCTTCGGTTTCTTGTCTACGCCAGGTCCCTTTGATCGCCGAATGACGCGCTTCCCTTCCTCCACGCGCCGCTTACCATAGCCACCGTGGGCCATGTCGTTTCTAACCTTTTTGCTCACTTTTTTTTTGTCACTGCTTTTGCTCCTTTCTTTCGTTTTCTGCTTGCCCTAGCAAAGGCCTCATGGACCAAATACACATAACCCATTTTTTTTTTAGTATTAATATAAAAATAAGTGTTTAAATACTTTAAAAAATGATAAAAATATTAAAAAATTAAATACATATAACATATAGTCATATCATTAATACTTATATAAAATATTCTTGCTATATTAGTTTAAGCTTACAAATTTTGTATTTAAATATATTCTTAATACCTAAATAAGTGCGTAAACTATATTTTTTTCTCGAATAGGTGTCTAATGTCATAAACATTACCACTTTAGATGTTCAGATCATCAATGGCGTTAATTTCTTTAATTAAGTGATACATGTTACGATCTAAATTTTTATATAAAATTAAAAAATAAAATTATATAGTTTTTAAAAATAAAACACATAAATTCTAAAATAACTCTAAAACTTTGAAAACATTCATTTCAATCACTAAATCCACACCTATTGTTGTTCTTTGTCATTCACAAATCTCCACCCGACCTATCTCCCCTCGAAAACCAAAACCTCTATAAAATCGTGACCATGTGAATCGACATTTTATACCCGTGAACCCTATAATGAAAATTGTGATCCTATACGATTTCGACGGTCAATCGGCGACAACTACGATGATATATAACTAGGATGATAACAGGGACTATGTCGGCGGTGACGTTCGTGAATGGAAAAGACGGCAGCAGTGGTACTGGTAGGAAAGGACGGCGACGGCGGGTTAGTGTTATGATTTAAGAATTTTAAGGATTTTGAGATTTTTTTGTAATTTAAAAGAGATTATGGTTTTTATAAATATAATAATATTTTTATTAAAAAATAAATTTTAAAATTATTAGATTGTGACACGTGTCACTTAACGAAGAAAAGTAACGATCGTTACGTCTCGGGCACCTAAAGTGATCACGTTTGTAACGATAGGCACCTGGATTGTCCCAAAAAAATATTGTAGACACCTATTCGGGGCAAAATATATAGTTTAAATACTTATTTGGGCATTACGCCTTAAATATAATTAGAAAATATAATAATTTTATTTAACAATACACATATTTAATCATACTTCGAAAAATCCAGTCAGAGCATGTAAGTCTCAACTATTCCAATCAGAATATTTTATACAGATGATATTACCTATGTTATATATATATATATATATAATTATTTTTACATTTTTTAATAATTTATATTTTATAATTTTATAGCTAATGAAGTAATGATATATATATATATAATTTTTAAAATATATTTTTGAATATTTTTATATTTAAAATTTAGTTTTTAAAATAATTTTTATTTAAAAAATTAAAGAAGTCCTTCAACTTTTAAAAAAACCAATTTGTCATGTCATCAACCACCATGAATTGTCACAACAGCATTGTGAACCGTCACATCAACACCGTAACGATCAACAACAGAAAACGTTGATCAAATGGTCATATTATGTTAATTTTCTGAGTTAGAGGGTCACATTGGGTGAAAAAATAGCGGTCCGCGATCACGATAGCTCCTGCGAAATAGCGGTAGCGTTCCTTCCGATATACCCGTTATACCCGCAATAACGCCCACTATGACCGTAATTACGCTAAACGAGACATGACGAAAACGCGACTGTATTTTGAATCCTGCTTAAGTCCCTAAGTTGTGTTGGGCTCTACTTTGCGTCTAATCTGGGTTTAACCATATGGGTCATATATGGATTGTAATCAGTATTGTACAAAACTCATACACAACCATATGTGTCGATAGTGCCTTATTTGTTACGTTGCCTCAATAAGGTGGCTATGGCTTGTGAGGAATGAGATGGTATCCAACAATAACATATTCGAGTTGGATGAGGTGTTTTTCTTGATTAAGCTTATGTGGCTATAGTGGGTGAAGGCAGTAATTAAATATGGGGATACAATATTGGAAGGGCAATGGAA